GCTGCACCACCAATGTGACACAGGAGCATGCAGACCATACTGTTAGTTTGTACGAAATAATCCATGCACTTGGATCTGATATACATGATCAACCTGTTGTCCTCACTTGGTCTTCTGCAGGGCTTCGTCAGAAAATATAAAAAGCACGATTTTCCAAAACAACCGAAAACTCTAAATAAAATATTGTGGTCCACCGAAATAAAGGCATAAACCTACTAGAACCCAAGACACCGAAAGCACAAACCAGTATCCACCTGACTCAGGCTAACCTCACGATTATCGTGCGAGTACCCAGTAGTTGTAAAATTTCAGAAATACCAACTGCATACCCTAATAGACATGACCTTTGAAATGTGGCAAAAGATAGTAAAGTCCTGAGACAGACTGCTGTTGCCTATCTTAGAAAGAAAGGAGACAACCAGGGAATGAATGCAATTCAAGAGTTAGTCGGTCAAGCTGTCTAGTCTTGTTCAACGTTCCAGTATGTAACTGTGGACTACTAGAAAAAAGGTACTGTGGATATAATTGTGCAGGAGGTTGTGTAGATCGCGAAAGGGTGCTCAGGCACCGGAAGGTGAGGAATCGTCACTATAAGTAGCAGTGAGTTGCAATGATGGCTTTCAGAATAAAATGAGACCACCATAAGTCCTGGTTATTGAGAAATCTTCTGAAATACGAATGAGAATCCACAGGACGTGGACAGTAAGGTAAATGACAAAGTGATCACTGGGACTGATAACCTCTACTACCATGGTCATACAATGTATTCCGGAGCTGGAAGCAGGCTTTTGCTATGAGATACACATGCGTGCCATATACTGTTGGATATTTCTGTCCCTTCACACGGCTCTTTTTGTCTCTGAGACTATCCCTGTCGTAGATTACATCGCCGAGCCCAACTCACATCAATCTGCTCACCATGATTGCCGCCTTCTAAATGCAGCTCTTCGGAATGATTAGCCACCTAGTTCCAGCCTTATCAAGAGACAAAATATAAGGTGACCGAATGGATTTAACTGTGTTAAAGTCTACCTTGGACCTCAGGAAAGCAGCCAAATGGTGCCACAATACATCATCATGACTCTGTTGCACCTAACACGACTTAACAAGATGGGGTGATAAGTCGTACTGTCAACAGCAACGACAGAGGACTGGGACTAAAAATCCGAAAGTCCTACCTTTATCTCAAGATAATAATACTGACAGAAACGCAGCTGACATCTATTATTGCTGGCGATGAAGTCAGCATAACAGATTCTTCTGATGGAGCGAGACAGTTATCATAAAGAAAAGTGCAGGGTCACTATGCACATTAGCATACAGCTAAGATTCACAGGGGCATCAGACCCACCTTTTGGGCTTCTAAACTCGATATGGTGCCACCCGATAGCATGATACATCAGGTATTTGCAGGATGGAATATACTGACCACATTCATGTGGAGGGCAAAGGAAACAGAAACTGCTCAACGCCATCACGGGGATGTGGAACCCTGGTTACGGCCAAATCATTACATCTGGAGACTTGGGCGGACCATTCTTCAACCTGGGTCAAGATGAGCTCAGAGAACATTCTACCAAACTCCCCTACACACTACCATGAAGGTTGGGATGACTGAAAACGCGAAGGATAATACTACGAAAGGCTCTGGTGGGAAGTCCTCAAAACTAGATTATATCTTAACAGGTGACCATTTACTAATGGGAGACATTCAAATGAAGACTCTGCAGGTAGTAGTGATCATGCTGTCATACTGTCTGACTTTCGTTATTTACGAGCGTCTAAAGTGCTGTGCTTCATACCTCTATCTGTTCTAAAGCAGAGCTGAAGCAACCAAAATGCGAAAGTTTTTATTTAAAGTGGAATGGCACCAAATTTGTGAGACTGTGAACTGACGAACACTGAGAGGTCGCAAAGAGAACTGATCACACACAGAACTTAATCACCGTCCTTGCTGTTAGAGGAAGCCCTAAAGAAGCATTCCACACGTTTAAGGCATGGCACGCAGCATGGCTTGCAAGGTATCTGTAAAGCACAATGTAGGGGTTAGTTTAACAATGAGGCACACGTAACACTCAGAAATGATGAAATGCGAGGGTGTCAAGCGACTGCAGTTTGCTTCAGTCGAATCTTGCTGGGAAAATACTGGAAACTTATGCTAACTGATTCTGGGTAGAAAACCTACCCATCAATGGGAAACACATAGTAATAAGTCCAAAAGTTACCCACATTACTAATGTTTGAGGGATAAAAATATCATGTTCAGCATTTGACTGATGGCTAAATGTCACTGTAAGTATAATCACTGTATGCCAAAATGTTCTGTTTCCTGAATCAACTAGCCGATACTTGAAAGGTACACTCCACATCAAATCAACAGTGCTACTGGCGACACTACGGAGACAGCCCATGAAAGTCCCCTGGTTTTATGATATTCAGCATGAGCTTTTAAAACGGAGCGCAGATGCTCTTTATGGGCTATTATGTGGATTGTGCGAACGCTTATTCAAATCTGAGAAACGGCGAAAGGAATTGAGTAAGCTGCTTTTTTCCTATAACGGCAGTACAGATCGGCAAAACAGTGAATTAGCGAACGGTGGCACTACTCTCACTTGTGTCAAAATTACTGGAAAACCTGGATGACAACCATACCAGGAAATACGGAGGTAGGAATAGCACATCCCGCGTAGCACATTCTGTTTTCGTGTACAATCATCCTAGTAAAACTCGGCTAAGGTGTCTAGCAGGGTTGCAATCAACGTTCCTTGGTGCTTTTGATTTTCATAATTTCCTGACAAACCATCTAGTCTCTGCAGTGTTGTACACGGAGGATGTGGAGATATGTAGGGGGCGAGAATATTTGAAACTGGGACAGGCTGCTGGTGGACTGGACTTGTGTCAAAGAAATGTCTATCAACCCTAAGGAGAGCCAGATATTACAAGCACACAGAAAGTGAGTTACATCACGTATTGTGATGATTATCTTGTTTAACATCAGGGCGAGAACCAGGTCTTTTTTCAACGGACTGCGGAACATAAGTGTGACTGATTCGTGTGGTGTGACCAGAGTGTGAGATGGCACACTTTACCAGCAGACGTGGCTACAACATATCCAGTAGAAAGCTTAAGGTGGAGACTGGATAATCATGCAACGCTACGTGGACTGCATTTAACAGATTGTCTCAGCCGTGATGACATGTAGACCTTAAACACAGCACTTGATCATGGGCTTTTTCCTAAACTTGTCGCTGGCCACCAAACAGTTTTTTATCTCATTGCTGCTGTCTGTTCGGCAACTGACCATATTTCAGTAACTGGCCGTCTAATTATTTCTCGAATTTTATCTGCCGAAACAGCTGAGTCATCTATAATAATACAGAGTATATATATTTATTCCTGTTTATACCCTGAGGTGTCTCAAGTACAGCCTGCACTGACTGCGGCAGTTTGGATAGGAAAAGTTCCCCGAAAAGTCCTTCATCAAACTGACGTTGGCCAATAACTTCCCTCATTCTTGTAGGCATGCTCACGGCTGACTGACCCCCCAACTCGACGTTGCGAAATAATTCGTCCAGATGCTGTCGATCCGCAAGAACGAACGTAAGCAACTCGTACGAGTAACTTACCGCCGGACTCGACATCTTCACAGTAACAAACGCGCTGAGTTCCCGCGGTAGGGCGTGAAAAACTGCAAGGAACAGTGAACGTTGATCCGTTATCCCGTGCTCACTGAAGCCAGACTCAGCTATCTGAAACCATGATTCAGCATTATCTGGCCAATATGGTACGAGCTGAATGGTTTTGGCAGTTGAGCGAATACGAATGACCTTAGGACTATGATCACTTATGACGAAATATGTATAGTTTAAAAATAGTACAAGAACAAATACAAAATGGAACGAACTCACCAGATTTGTCTGCGTATTTACAAAAGATGAAGTTCGCGGTAGGGCTCACCAGTTTGGAAGCTGACGGTATTGACGTCCTTGGATTGTGTGGAGTATACTATAGCAGGATCTAATACCCACAACTTTCATAGTATTCGTTCCGCGTAGACCAGAAGCAAAACAAACCACCACAATTGATCGTCCAAATTATGAGATATATTTCGCGACCAAATCATAGACCCACATGAATGCTTAGCTGACTAGTGATCGTGCACGAACGTGACACGACGGGGTACCGAATGATGTGGATGTTTGGCCGGAAGCGTTGGTGGCACAGCGGTTAGGACTCTCGCCGACCATGCACATGGTCCGAGGTTCGATCCCCACCGACTCACACCTGATATCTATAGTCGGCCTGCTAAATCTGGGCTACCGATATCCATGCTGAAAATTTCACACTTGTACCCAAATGCTGTGTGGAATCAAGCTATAATAAAAAAATTCGACTTAAACAGTGAGGGTCAGCATCCAATGTTCAGTGATGATTGCTGTGGTCAATAATTTCGGAGAATTATTTACCGCTACACTACTATCTAATTGTTTTCGTTTGTATTTATCTCTTTGCCTGTTAACCTTCCTTTTTGAGTTCACATTTCCCCCCTTGAGTCTTTTTGACAAGATGGAGAGGACTGATTCTGATCACAGCTATGTTGTGGTCTTAACTGACCTGATGCAATAAATCAAAAATTACAAACAAACCACACGACTCCTTTTTGGAGTCTCATTCAGGTGAATCGTGGGACGAACTACTCAGATGCTCGACAAGGGACTGGAATTTTCAAATAACTACCATGAAGCAAGTTTAAAGAAATCAATCTAGTCAATACTAGCACGTCAAAGGACATTGAATTTTGAACCTATCTGGAAAATTATCTAGCGTAGCGAGATTCCCCAAGTTTTATCCGCATCACTATACTAGTGCAAACCATAAATTCCCACCAAAACAGATCAACCTTATTCATATAACGTAGTCACAAGGAAATTGGGTATTGTACTGTTATTTGGTAGATCTCTTTTGTTTAGAACAGTCAAAATTAGTTGGTGTGTTGGTGAATTGTGTATGTGCACATTTGGAATATGTGTTCTTATTGTGTATAAGATATCATGCACTCAAAATCAACTTCTGTGAGAGACTATTCAGGACCACCTGAAATACAAAAATATAAAAATTCTAAAAGCTGCTATGGAGTGGCTGATGAAGTTCTTACCCAGGACTTAAACGCAATCCTTCGCGATGAATTACAAATAGCTGGTAGACACAAATCTAACTATGAAACTCTGAAGTCTGCATTCAAGAAGCTTTATGTGAGTTAATAATTATACTCATCATCTACTCTTTTCTCAGGGCGATCCTTCAGAGTGTTAAAAATGTGTGTCACATACTCTATTAGGGGACTTGGGGAAATTATGAGGCATTTCTCAGAATTTTCCAGCATTTTCGTGTGTTAATTTCCAGCAAAACTTTTTTCTTGAGGAAAATGTCATTTTTTGTGGGGTCCACTTCTTTTCCAGTAAGTCTCACTCATTCTCAAACTATAGACTGCATTTGTTTGTCAACCTATAACAACGAGACCCATCCAGTTCACATAACTAGGTACAAAAATCATAGACTCTTAAAACAGAATGTATTGTTTTTAAGACTGCTGTCTGTTTACTTAAGACATGTGTTTAACTTCGTTAACCTTTTGAAAGGTAAATGTTGAATACATAAATAATACACATCAATCTCCATCAAAGTTTTCAACCTCATCGACCGACTTCCCTCCATTTCTGAAAATTCTACAACTATTAATCGGAGTATTTATTGCGTGTTTTCATTATTATTTTAGTAACTTTTTAAAATTTGGAATTTGCAAGCTTTAATTATTTGAGAGTGCTTCATTAATCAGTGCCTAAGGCGTTGAATTATGTGTAGTGTGTGGCGACCTGAAAACATATCAAATTATATGTTCACGGAAAAAAGGAAGGAATTCAACCTGAAACCTTGAACCGCGCGCAAGGAACGAATCGTTCGCCCTCTCTCCGGCTGCTCGCCCAGCACATCTGCTGACCAACGCTGTCTCACACTGGTTGACACATCCCCTTCGAGAACTTCGCTCCTATCTGCTTTACTCTACGTGGAGACTTCCGACGGGGGACAGCGCTAAGTTGTAGTGGAGAATTTGTATAATCAAGAGAAGGACAATTACATTCCTATAATTTCGTACGTCTATAATTTGTGTATTTTGTGACTGTTATAGTTTTCTTCAAATAACCTCAGTCCTTTTTTTGTGTATATTAACTTAAGTGAACCGAATATTTTATATATACGTATTTGTTAGTACTTGTTCTCTCCTTTTAATTGCGTTTATATACTTACCTAGCTACTAGGTCCACTACAAGTGAAACTTGACTTAAATACGTATTCATAACTGGTTATTATGTAGTATTACTGTAGGATGTAATATAGAAAGACATTTTAAGCTGAAGTTATAAGGAAAGTTATACATGTGCACAGTAATTACAAACTTGAATATTGTCATTTTATTTGGTCTACTTAAATGATATTTTGATAGCTTTCGCTTGTAGTCCAACATTTCAAAATATTATTTCTTCACTTATTTATACTTCGTAGCTTAATACACCAGTGGTAACGTGAAACTTCAGCACTGTGTCGTATGGGTTCAAATCTATTTGGACAGCTGGATAAACGTAAGGTTCAGAAAAGGGTATATTGATCATAGCTTCACGCTTCGAAAGTTTATCAAACATTGGCGTCCAATACTTATTCGTAGAATGTAAGTAGCCCTAGATTCTGTTGGTCGAGACGTGCTGTGTTCACAAAGGAATTGCTAGAAAGTCTGTTATACCAGTCAAGACATACCACTTGAATACATGCAGATTTGTTAGGGCTTATACTATGGCGATACTGAAAACGATCCCAATCGTAATATTATAATGTACCTACGTTTTCACGTTATACGATGTGCTAACGGTGTACACGGTCAAAGATGAACAATGTTGTATTAAGTAGTACAAGTGAAAACTTGAAAAGATGTATAGCTAACGAAGGCGAATTTCGAGAAACGCGAAAACGAACAAAAAGTGTATAACGGAGTAAGAAGTACATGTGTAACAAAGAAAAGCAATATTTAATAATACAATGGCAGATATTCCACAAGCATATGTAAAATTAGTTTCTGCAATCGTATACCATGCATACATTAATTAGTTTTATGACCATGAAGTTAGGTTTATTATATGGGTGCTACAATACCTCCATTTCTATTCACTCTCATTCAAGATGTGCTGATGGAAGTTATCCTGGTCGTCCTCAACTTCTCAGAAATTGGATTGTTACTCACGCTAAGTCTAGATTATCTAGAATATACAGACAACACAATCTCTCAAACATCTTAGGCAGAGTATGTCCAGGATGTGGTCCATCCCTTTCAAATGTAAGATAATGGTTAAGGACAGGACTGCACTGAATCCTAGTTCAAAAATAAAGAAATAGTTGCGTTTATTGACTGCTTAAGTTATCCTATTGAACTGATTTCGTACAAAATCTAAGCACTGATATAGAAGTTTCGTCTGCCATTTTCCAACTAGTATCATTGGTGCAGGTGTGATATCTCGGTATCCATCGAATTGACAAGCGCGCTATAAAACAGTCTTTCTCATCCATTTTCACAGTCGAGAAATGGCCGTTGAAAGTGTAATGTATAAAGATTCTAACTGTCTTGAAACATACATGTTTGCGTTTCATCTCCCACGTTAGGTGGTATAATCTGGCCACTAAAATGGATTTTAGTTTTGTATTCGTTTAAGAGAAAACGTTATTTAACAAGGTTTAGAAGTTATGTAGCTTAAGACGTATAGAACATGTGTAAGGCATCGGGATCAGTTACTTTTCACATCCAGCGATGTTACTTCACATAGGATGACATTAGAAAAGAGACATGGATTATCAATCTATGAAGACGAAGACGATAAAGATAAGCAACCAACACCACCACCAACAACAACCAGCACCAGTCACCACCACCAATGGAAATTTAACAGAGGTTTCTTCCTTAACTTATCTAGGCAGCCAGCATCGTTTCAACTACAGGCTACTGGCACGGATTAAGATATCAAAGTCAGAATTGGAAAGACAAGATACGCCTTCATCAGGCTGAAACCAGTTTGGAAATCTTCTGCACTCAGTCAGTGTAAAGAACAAGATTCGGATTTTAAACACCAATATGAAGTCGGTCTTTGTAGATGGGTCAGAAACTTGACTCGATAGTCACGAAAAGGACTTTGATTAACAGCTGACTTCGCTTCATACTGTGGATCAAATCGTTAGAAAGAATTAGTAACAAGAAACTGTGGGAACAAACCAACAGGCGAGAGCCGATCGCTCAACAAGTATGTAGGAGAATATGGAGATGCATCGGGCATACATTAAGGAGGCCGTCGAATGACATCGAGCGCCAGGCATATCCAAGTGGGAAAGACAATTTCGGCGTGTGTCCTAGAGTGACATGGAGGAGATCATGTGAGGCGTATGTCCAATCCATTCCCATTTCCTCCCGCATATTTCTTTGGCAATAGGTCTTGGATAGTTCTTTGCTATAGTTACTTGATACTTTTCCTTTCAGGCCATCTGGTGTTTAGTACCAAACAAATACATCTACTGACGAAAGTCTTCAGGCTATTAGAAATGCTTTTCATGACACCAGTGAGTGTAACTACAAATAAAATATATTTACAAAATTAAAATATCGCCTGCGAAACAACAGTAGTAAGTACTGGCATGTTTACAAGGGAAATAAATACGTAGATTCTGAGAAAAACTTTCACAGCAGTTTGATACCATCGATGAGTTGAGCGATGAATGTTCTTCTCCTTTAGAGAACTATCTGTCAATATTTCTTTGTTATCCCAAATAATGAAGTTTTAAAATGTATTTTAGGAATTCAAATCTCAACTTTCAAATGTTTTCGCTTTTGACTGGTACTAATCATGACGTAATGGAAAGCCTTTTAGATATTCACCCATTGTAAAAAGATGGAAACTGTTCATACGATTTGTTTAAAAGTGGTGTAAGCGAGTAAAAGCGACATGAGGGGTTGATAATGATGAGAATTAAATCGTCAAAAACTGACTGTTTGAGATTGAACAGGGAACTTTCCACAGAAGCACAGTTATTCAAGTTGCCACACTCCTTTTAGGACACAAAGGTAGAACAAAGAGAAATTCAGAAAACTACAGTGAGTAGAAATGTACAGCGGAAAAAAATAGTAACATGGGAAAACATGAGAGTTTAACGGATCTGGTAGATTTCAAAGAGTGAATTCATCAGCACCAAATCAACAACAGTCTCAAGCTATTGATTCATAGAATCCCGAGGATCCCAACCAGGTAGTATACACCTCTCTACGTATTTAGCTCAAACTACCTGTCAAATAATTCACACGAATTGATCTCAGATTTTGGTTAAGCCACCCCTAACCCTTTTCTAACCTAAACGGATCATATGTAATCCGTCATGGCATGTCGAGGAAGGCGATAGCTCGAGATGGGCAACATGTGCCTTATCCATCTCAATTGATATGACTTTATAATCTTTTCGTGTGTAAGTCAGGGATGTCCACTGTCCCCATTTCTATTCAGTTTCATCATAGATGTACTAATGGACTTAACCCTAACTTTTGACTTCAGAGACTCAGAGATTGGCTTGTTATCACGGAATAATCTCGTTTACTTAGAATATGAAGATGAAATAGTCCTTCTAGGTGAACACGCTGACAAAATGGAACAGAGTCTTCTGAACACCTTGAGCTGTAATCTGCGAATGTTTAACTTGAGATTCGCTCCCGCTGCCAAATGTAAGGTGATGCTACGGGGCTGGATTGCACTGACTCACTCCTAACTTAGAAATAGGGAGTGAAGTGTTTGGTGGAGCGTGTTGACCACTTCACTTGTTATTTGGGAAGTTGCATCAGCCAACGCCAGCTAGTTGATCGTCGACGAAATCTCAGCACGGATATAGGAGTCTCGTTTTGCATATGCCAGTTAACGCCGTCTCTGGTGTAGACGTGATATCCGGCTGGCTGTCGACCAAAGGACGGGTGTACTGCTCAGCAGTTTGTTCCGTCCTCTTTTATGGCTGTGATTGGGACATGGCCATTAAAAGCGGAAGACATGAAAAGGCCGACTGCCTGTCGTTGATTATAGGTGTCCGCGTTCTATCTCCTCTGTGTGTTAAGTGTTATAATAAGGTGAGTAATACTAAGATAAGGTATCGAGTGCTAGGTAAGGAGAGGAAATCAATAAACGAGGCTGTGAAGTTACATCAGATGAGGTGGTCAAGACATGTGCTACGTACATATGCCTAGCCGACGCTATAGCCATTACTCAACTGGCAATGTTAGCTGACATTGGATGGATCAGGTTGTAAAAGAGCTAGTGGTGGTCAAACCAAAACATGGTCTCATCGGTCAATGAAATCCACAACAGTTATTTTAAGCCAGCCACATGGGAATATGTAGACTTCCTAATTTGTTGGGGTCCTCGGGATGGTAAAAACCAATGAAGGCTGGAGACAGTTGATGATATGGCTCAAAATCGTTGTCAATGGCTGGCGCAGATGCATCCACTCCTTGTGACATTATAATTTCCAATAAAACTATATAGTTCTTCGATGTTACTATTCTTTTTGCATCATATCTCAGTTTAATGTCTCTGTTTTGCATTTCCTTTCACTTTTTTCTCTTGCTTTGTGTGCTACATGGAGGGTGTGTGGCGAGTGGAACTACTACACATCTGTGCAAAGTTTTATGTTGAAACCAGTCAGTCTGTCTTGTCGAATGACTTTCCTTCCCAGCAGTGGTATCGGCCGTCACATTATACCACTTAACAGGAGATATATAACGGAAACATGTGCAGTCAAAGACAGCTACAGTTTTCATATTATACTGTGGAAATTAGAAGTAATGTATGATAAGTAAATTTGATAAATATGTTGTGAAATAACACTTAGGCTTATGGCCAGATTGTTTAACTTATTTTAAACGGGTCCGAAGATCTGAGAGACAGAGAAAACGACAGGTGTTTAATTTGTTCATAATTTGCACTGGCATTTTTAGTTATTGTTTGGAACATCAGCGAGATACCCAAACACAACGCCCTAGAAATGCGGTAAAAAGAGCATTCCCTGCTGCTGCATTACACTGTGTGTTCAAAACCACTCCTCTTTTGCGCTCAGGAGTAAAAGATAAACTGCCTAATTTCGCCTCTTCCATGTGTATATACCAATTTAACTGCACCTGTGGAGTGAGCCAGTTAGTCACATAGGCCGTACAATTAGGCGTGTTTCTCGTTGAATTTCCGATTATCGGAGTGCTATTCTATCTCATCTTGTGAATACAGAAAACAAGATTGATGTCAACGAGGCAGCTTTCAAAGTCACTAACCGCATACAAACTAATCTTAACTTAGCCTCTGGAGTTCAACTACTAAATATTGCTGAGACCGGTCGTTGGGATCCATATTAAGAAGCCTAATTTTTGTGTCCCATAGAAGAAGCCAGTTCAGACATTGTCCTTACCCCACTGGCCATCTAGGTTCGAATGATCCTCAATTTGTTGTGAAAATTTCCTTAATTTTGGTTGATATTCTATTTGCTATGATATTTTTATTATTATTATTATAATTTTATTTTATTTTTTGTTTAATGAACTGTAATTCTATTGTGATCTTACTTTACAAATCGATATTATTTGAGAAACACGCCGATATTGTTATTGACTACTATTATAGAATATTCTATGCATATAAACATATGTATATATAATTGTAGAGCCAGAGGAGGAGGAAATTATCGAAATGGATATTCTTATTTTGTCTTTTAAACACGTTTATTCTATTTAATTTTAGAATGCTTATAATCAGCTTGAATCACGCTTGAATTCATCAGCAACTGATTCCAAGTTATTGGAAAGACAACAACAGCAACAAGGCGATACCCATCTGCTGGGAGCACGCAGTAATTTAAACGAATACATTTCAGCAATGGAGACTGTAAAACAGTCTAATTCTATACCAGCTATAGAAACTTTAGAAATCGCAAAACTTAAGGTAAGAGTAAGTAAGACGTCTAAATAATTGATTCGTTTAAATTTTTGCCTACAGTTTCAAAAATCTGTTTATATTTTGAGTAGACAATCAATGTCTCCCAGAAACTTTTTTCCAGTGACCTTAAAATTATAAATTCACAATTTCTCCCATTTCTATCAACTAATCGATGTGTTAATTGTGTCATTTTGAGAAATTGGAGCTAGGAAAACTTGTAAAATGAAATATTTATAAATTATTGCTTATGATATAAACACTTCGAACTGTGTAAAGTGCGAATTACGAATTTAATCCACTGTATTACCAGTTCACCTGAGTAACCAGCTGAAATTCAGGTAATTTGAACTGATTCAGCTTTCTGAGATAAAGGGAAAAGAACAAGAAATTCAGCAAAGATGGCGATTTCACTCTTAAAAGCTGTATAATCGCATTTATATACGCATAAGGTTACATGGATTCCAAATGGTAACGAAGGAGATCATAATATTCAGGACAGACTTCCGCATATGACCGATTCAGTGTGCATATATCAGTTCACCTGCTCTTGCAGAGCCAGTTACATATATCGTTCTGTGCGGGTCTTATCAAAACGTTTTAGAGAACATTATCCAGCATGAGTGCAAAGGCGAGGCACTGGTTCAGTCAGAAGCGCCATAACTGACCACCTCGTCAATCAATACCTGTCACGGCATCTCAACTGACTCATCATTCAGAGTCATTTACAAAGTAAACAAAAATCTACCAAAGGCAGTGTGTTTCCGACTTCTTTGTAGCGTAGAAGTTCTCGCCAAATGCATCGAAAAGCCGGAGCTGTGTGTTCAAAAGAAATTAGTCCAACCTTTGCAACTACCATTGACCTAGTTCTGTATGTTCCCTTAGTCACCGGTTTTTTTAAAATATTTTTTTTGCTCTCTGTGTTTGTGATTCTTATTCTTTCTGTCTTCATTCATTTCATCCCATTTCTTTTTTCAGTTATAAAATCGGTTGTTTTAAGTTTGTTTCCATGCTCCTCCTGATCCCACTTGTAATTCGTTTAAGAATAACTATTTGACAGTTATATTCTAATCCTGTGTTATTTTTTGTTTCTAATCCTATTGTAGTCTATATTTCCACCTCCTAACTTCCATTTCAATTTGTTTCCATGCTCATTTTGTTCACCCATGTAATTCCTTCTATCCCTGTGTAATGTTTTGTTTCTAAGGCTCTTGTAATTCATATCAAGCTGAAAATAATTATCACCTTTTATTCGTCTTTAAAATTATTTCTCCAGTTGTCAAATATTAATTTTGCCTACGTTATAACGGTTTTCTAATCTTATGTAGTCTTGTCTCTAAACCCCTTTTAATCTATATTCGTACTTTCAAATTTTCATATCAAGTTAAGAATTATTATCTTCTTCGTTACTAAGTGGAATCCATGTAAACTTATGCGTACATAAATGTGATTGTACAGCTTTTAAGAATGAAATCGCCAAAAAGATCACCATCTTTGCTGAACTTCTTGTTGTTTTCCCTCTATTGTCCCGATGGGTATTTTCTAAGATAAGTCAAACTGGGCAAATTGCTGATAAATGAGTGAAATGGCTGTCACTGGATCTCGAATCATTTCTATCCGACTGAATGGAAAGCACTACCGGTTGATATGTGTGTATGATTCCCATCTACTCAGGTCGATGAATCAATAGTATAAAATACCATGCAGTTATAAGTATGTAGAGAGTGACATTCCGTAGTTATTTCGGTGGAAAACCGTCAGTAGAATTTGAGTTCTGGCAATAGAGACAAGCTACCAGATTTCTAGATTTGTAGGGATTTTATTGGTGATTGTATGAATCTCGAAAAAAAATCGATATCATTTAAGGAATCAATGAACAAGTGTTTTATCCCATTGTAGAACTCTTCAGCAATGAGCATGTGTGGTTCCACCAGGAATCAAACTGTATGCATTTATTCCCCTTGATGAATTCGAATAAAGCAAGAACAACAGTGGTTTGTGTAGAATAATATGGTACCATCATTTATTTCGTTGGCTTCTCATCAGCTGCCTGCTTACAGCCTAAATAAATTACTATTAAGCTTATGTATAGAAAAGATTTAGCATACTTGCAAATTTTACACGATGTTGCTCGATGGACGGGAACCAACGTAGCTGCAGGATAGTTGGTTCCCGTCCATCGAGCAACATGCTCTTTGGTGCAGTCAAAAGTCGACAGATACCCTTCTCATGTTAACTCCAACTGTATATACAAATTTACGTGTATCTGCGGGATCAGTTACATTGGGAGAACAGAAAGAAGGGCACACCTCCGGTTTTGCTAAACATGTGCCAGAAAGCCTACGTCTCAAGGGAACAAACCGTTATAATAGCGCTATTACCAGACATCTCCTTGATACGGATCATGAGGTGAAAATCGCGAAATCCTTTAAAATTATCAATAGACAAAGCAGCTCGTTCTCCTCAAGTTTGCCGAAGCAATTTCTATCAAACGCTTCAAACCAGATTTGTATGTTCAGAAAGAAGCAGTTATTAATCTTTCCTTGCCATGGTAACTGGATGTCTTTATTCGTTCTTTCATTTGACTGCGTAATCTTTGGCTCTAACCTCACCCAGCTTTGATATAGTGTAATTTTGTTTGTCTCTTGTTTCTATGATTTGAGTTGAACTCAGTACATTGTTACCTAATTTATTAGTTACTCATCATCTTACGCATCTGTCGTCTTTATTACGTAACTCCGTTATTATTGTATGCATGCATGCATTTATTTTGTTTAAGCCTAAACTGACTGTGTAAAAACTATATAATCGTAATTTTCTGAGCACTGTTCGCTAATTCCGGAACCTTCAGTCAACTGACATCATGAAAAAATTTTGCAAGTGTGTTAAAACTTTTCTGTGCATGAACTTAGTAATAATTTATTTAGGTTGTAAGCTAGCAGCTGATGAGAAACCAACGAAATAAATGATGGTACCATATTATTCTACACAAACCACTGTCGTTCTTGCTTTATTCAAAATCAAACAGTAAATCAGTTCGCGAGTTAGACACGTTTACCATTCATAGACTAATTTTGATTAAAACGACTCAAAGATCCTATCTTCTATCGACCGGTCATAGAGCATTGCCGTCTGGTTTGAAGTTTATCATTTCTTTACAAATGTAAATTCTCAAAAATAACCTACTTATTAGTGGCTAGCGTCATGAAGATTGTAGAGAATTTCATCATGCACTGACATCGGTTAGAGGACCATTGGAAAACCTGTACTGGAGTACTGGACAGCTGTTTCGTCAGCCTAGTTTGGGACTCTTCACAGTACGCAACCACTTAGGTTCGAAACTATGACCTTCTGGTGACAGGGTGAGCTCATAGGTCATTAGGCCTCTGGGACCATTAATTCGTGACCAGTGGGGCACAACAGGTCGGGTGTGAGGACAAATATTCGCCAACAATGATATTCGCTAGTGGTCATGCCATATGATGAATTGCCAGAAGCTGGAATTTCATACATTTATTCCCCTTAATGAATTTGAATAAAGCAAGAAAAACAACATTTTTTGCAGAATGAAATGGTACCATCATTTATCTCGTTGGCTTCTCATCAGCTGATTACAGGCCAAAGACATTATTAGGTATATCTACAGAAACAATTTTAACACACTTGCACAGAGTTCAACCAATCAATATATGCATACAGTAATATATATACATATGTAATATTAAACACTATCCTGAACAATAATGATCATACACAATGGAAACTTTCGACATTAGGTAATCAGATGAAAGAGAGGTGAAAATTTCCAGTTACCAGGGTAAGCAAAGAAAGACTGATAATTGCTTCTTTCTGAATGTATAAATCAGGTTTCAGGCGCTTGATGGAGATGGCTTCAGCAGACTTGAGGAGAATTGAACTCTTTAGCCTATTGATAATTCTGAACGATGTTGCGATGTCCACTCTTCATGACCCGTGTGAAGGAGATGTCTGGCGATGGCACTGTTTAAGCCATTGGTTCCCTTTAGACATAAGCTTTTTGTTACATGTTCATGGACTGGCTATTAGATAGGGTTGCAGTGGCTTAATGGTCTACGAACTCGCCTTGTAACCAGAAGGTCTTAGGTACAAAACTCAGTGGGTACACACTGATGAAGAGTCCCGAAATAGGACAACGGAAACAGCTCCCAGGTTTTCCTCTTACCGATGTCACTTCATGATGAAATCTTGAAACCAATCGAATCCCTGCAAACCAACACTGGATTGTCCAGAAGTTTTAACAGCAAGATGTCGGTAAGGCACCTCAATTTTAGATATAAAGTAGATGGCATTTCTCACCAGCAGTACTATAGTGCAAATTGAGAATAGTTGGAATCCTTGGTCAGAATCAGTGGCTGAATGATAAATCTGTTTGGCTGGAAGCCTAAAGTTCTTAGGCTACATCCATATAGAGACTTTTCCAGGATTATTTCTATGTAGATTTTTTTATCAGGTCATATTTCTGATGTGTAGCTTTGTCCAGTAGGGAAGTGTAGCTAACATGAATCGCCATTATCCACATTCTACATCAATAATAGAAGCAAGACCAGAAAGATCCTTTCAGAATTGCTTTGCAGACTATAAGTAATTCGAATAAGTATTCTCTGTGAAATGCATTTTTTTTAAAAAGTTTTGATATTGCAGTTATCTGTCACCTATTCAGACTACTTGGTTGTCAGTAAATGTGTGACGTAGCTTTTTACCCAAATAGTTACCACTACGACTATGAAAGGGAGCTTCTGAGCTTCTCTATCATTCAAGCATTAGATTTCTCAGCAGTGCTCCGCTGTCCTAGTAACTTAAGTACCTGTCTGGCCCGTGACATGATTCGGAGGTCTTCTCAGAGTGTCTGGTCCATCTCCAAATTCTTCGACATATTTTCAAGTATTGGTTTTGTAGGGATTTCGTTTGATTGGATGGAGGATTTCATCATGAGCTGATAGCAGTTAGAGAACCACTGAAAAACCTGGGAGTGCTGGACAGCTATTTCGTCCTATTTTAGGACTCTTCATCAGTACACACCCACCGCCAGGATTCGAACGCACGACCTTCTGGTTACAAGGTGAGCTCGTAGACGATTCAGTCACTGGGTCCCAATCCAGTGGCCAGCCCATGATTTCTAACTTCTGCCAATTAATGACATAGCGTGACCATTTCGAAATGTCTTCCTCGATGAGTTACTGCCTCATCTTCGACCTGCTGCACCCTACTGGTCACAGCTTCCCACTAGAACTCCAGGTTACTGCCTGAAGTCAGAAGTTAGAAATCATGGGTCATTGGATCAAGTCCCAGTGGCTCAATGGTCTACGAGCTCGCCTTGTAACCAGGAGGTCCTGGGTTGGAACCCTGTAGGTGGGTGCGTACTGCTGAAGGGTCGGTCCCGAACTTGGCTGACGAAACAGCTGTCTGGCAGTACTCCCTGCCTAGTGGTCCTCTAACCGATGTCAGTTCATGATGAAATCGTCCAACCAATCAAACAAAATCTCTACAGAACCAATTCTGGAAAATTAATCTGATGCTTACTAGCGACTGGTCCTATCCAGACAGTTAACCTGGGATTCTGGTGGGAAGCCGTGACTAGTAGGGTACAGCAGGTTGAAGATTAGGCAGTAACTCATCAAAGAAGACATTGCTAAGAAGTGGTCGCGCTATGTCGTGAATTCACAGAAGTTAAAAATCATTGGCCATTGGACATTTCTGTTGGGCAGCTGGTTCTTGGTTGATTTGTTCCAAGAGTTTCTTGTTGCTAATACTTTCAGGCCATCTGATATTCACTACAGAATGACGCCAGTTGTTGAAGAAAGTCTACAGCTGTCTGTCGGGAATACTTTTGTGATGCTTGATGCGCCAAATCTCTGAACTATGTATAAGCACCGACTAACTTGACATGAGGGTTGAGTCTTTCCTTATTCTGCAGCAGATTTCCACACGTGTCACGCTACCAATTAACACTTGTCAAATCTTCGAAAGGATATTAATGCGAGATACTTTAATTAACTAGCGACTTGATTTGACACTAGTAACCAGTGTGATGTGTCTAGCTAGTCCTCTCTTTGGTGCAGACTGAATTCTATCAGTCAGTCAAGTTGTAATGTGGCCACCATTCTAGATAGCTCACTATCACATTGCACATTGTTTTAATGATATTAGATGGTTGGAGGGAATCGGCCACAGGAAGCCTCACATGACCTACGTTTCGTGCTAGTTGGCACTCGTGAGCAAGGCAGGCGTATCTGCAGCCTTGAAGGAACTCATGTCCCTTCTGAGGTTCGAACCCGCGTCACCCAGTGGTGCAGCGTCTCTTGGTCTCCTATGATTTTTTTTCAGTTGATGTTGAAATCATGAGGATAAATATATACATATATATTGACTTCAATCAATTGCTTCCTGATAAAAGTTTCAAATGGCTCATGATGAAATCTTGTAACCAATCAAATCCCTACAAACCAACACTTGAATATCGATGAGATGCTCACTAGCGACTTGCCATATTCAGGTAGGTAGTTACCTGGGGTTCTAGTGAGAAGTCGTGACCAGTAGGGTGCAGCAGGTCGGGTGTGAAGAGAAACACTCGCCGAAGACATTGACTAGGGGTCACGCTATGTCGTGAATTGGCAGAAGTTAGAATTCATGGGCTGGCTGGCCATTGGATCGGGTCCCAGTGGCTTAATGGTATACGAGCTCGCCTTGTAATCAGGCCCTGGGTTCGAACCCCCTGTGGTGGGTGCGTACTGATGAAGAGTCCCAAACTAGGACAACAGAAACAGCTGTCCAGTACTCCAGTGCTGGTTTTCCAATGGTTCTCTAACTAATGTCAGCTCATGATGAAATCCTGTAACCAATCAATCAAATCCCTACAAACCAACACTTGAGTTTTAAATGGGCTATAACCCACGATTATTGATTTTTTTACAATTCTTATCATTATGCATTCATATGGAGTATAATTTGTCATGTTTCGCTTTGTTTTCTTTCCCACTCATTATATTTAAGATTACAAATGAACTGGAATCAAAATATCGTGAACAAATTTTAAACCTACAATACGATCTACAACGTTGTCAAGATGAAAATCGATTACTTGTCGAGGAGATACAAAACCTCAATAAAACATTAAATCAAGAACGTGGTGAATTCAAGAATACACTAATGAATTCAAAATTGTTTTATGAAGCCGAAGTAGGCAGTTTTCTCATTTTTTTTAAAGATTGTTTTATTATGAATATTTGTAACTCCGTTTTCAAATCATATTTTTTACAAGTATTGGTTTGTAGGGATTTTGATTGATTGATTGACTGGTTACAGGATTTCATTATGAGCTGACATTGGTTAGAGAACTATTGGAAAACCACTAGGCTGGGAGTACTGGAAAGTTGTTTCGTCCCAGTCTTGGACTCTTCAGAAGTAACCAACCGTCGGTGGGGTTCGTACCCAGGACCTTCTGGTTACAAGGCTGGCGATCTCGTAGAAGTCGGAATTCATACAATGACCTTTGGATTGGGTCCCAGTAGCTTAATGGTCTACCAGCCAGCTAGCCTTGTAACTGGAAGGTCCTGGGTTCGAACCGTATTGTTGGGTGCATACTGATGAAGAGTCCCAAACTAGGCTGTTGAAATAGCTGTCCATTACTCCCAGATGGTTTCCAATGGTTCTGTAACGGATGTCAGCTGATGGTGAAATCCTATAACCACATTTTTACAGTCTATTCTAATTTTTATCATCCGGTTAACGAATGTAGTCACGTTTTTCATCACTTCTTATGTTCCTGGTGGAACAGAAGTCTTCGAAATTGAGCCTTGAAGTTTCACTAGCAACGGTGTTGTTTTCACGAGGTGGGGTTTGTTAGTTGTGCGTCCAATTTTCCTCCTTTTACGGTGATTACTGTCAGCTAAGCGAGGTTTAGGAGTGAGTCAGTAGGTAGTTGAACTCCGACCACATGTGCGGTTGGTGAGCATTCAACCAATGAACCACCAAAGTATGTATACTTGGAGGTCAACAGCATTCAGCATCTAAAATAAGGTGCAGATTTTCAACTCTAATGTGAAGTCAGTCAGTGCTACTATACGAATCAGAGATTTGCACTGCGCGTCATAAAGAGCATCTCAAACAAACTACAGACCTTCATTAACAGTTGTCTTCACTCAATACTACTCAAGATTAGATGGCCAGTCAGAAAAAAATCAGCAACAGGGATCTCTGACAATGAGCGAACCAACCCAGCAGGAACCGATTGTGCAACAAATAGGCAGGAAGAAATGGAGATGGATTGGCTGGCCATACTCTGAGGAAACCATCAAGTGACATCACTAGATAAGCCATCGCTCGAGTGGAACCCAAAAGGGAAGCGGTGAGTCAGTTGGTCGTCAGTGCAAGGGTGACTTAGAGGAAGTCATGTGAAGAGGGGATGAAAGCGTGTGGGCAGATTTGGAGCCAGGTGAAGACTCTAGCAGAGAACCGAACGTAATGGAGACGCATGGCTGAAGCCCTATGTTCCTCTAGGAATTAAATAAAACAATAATAATAATAATTATTGTTTGAAAGATAATGTTATTATTTAGGCAAACCAAAACGCTGAAGATAGGACAGATTTCAGGCTTCAAATCTCCGGGCTTTTTGTGATTAACCTACAACTTTATATTTAAGAATCAAAGTATCCGGTTAGTTTAACAGGAGATCAGTCATGAGGCCGAATAGCTTAGGGGTAGTGTCTCTGACTGTATCACTGGGTGATGCTGGTTTGAATATCAGAGCAGATATGAGTTCTTTCAAGATTGATGATACACCTGCCTTGCTGACTGGTGAGTGCCAACTAGCACGAAACCTAGGTCCAAGGCTTCCTGTCAACTGCCTTCAGCCATCTAATGTTAACAATTCACAGTGTATCTTAATGGCGAGCCACCCACAATGGTGACCACATTGCAAAATTTGACTGATAGAATTCAGTCTGCACCAAACAAAGAGCCGGACACATTAAACTAGTTACTGACTAGTGTCCAATGAAAGCATATTTAAGAATTATACAATAGTAATACTACGGTTTGCCATAGTCTGTAAGTGAATTATGCCTGTAGTAACGTAATCTCAGGTTGAAATTAGTTGAAGTAAAGTGATCTAGAACTTTCATTGGTTATTTCAAGTTAACTGACAAACTGACATAAGTTGTAAAAAACCCTGCGAAAACCACCGGGGAGTACTAAGCAGCCATTACCTCTTAGATTGGATCTCTTGAGCAGTACGCAACCATCTAATACGCACTAGTTACTGACTACAAGCTGAATTCGCCTGGAGTTCTAGTGAGGGTTTATGACCAGCGATATCCTCTATGTCCTCTATGGCTGGTGAATTGGCAGAAGTTCGAACTTATGCGTCACCAGATCCCATGCCACTGGTTAAATGGCCAACAGCCTCGCCTCGTGATACGGAAGGTCTTCAGTCTGCCCCCTGATGAAGATATCGCTGAGAATTGTTGAAGAGTGTCAAACTAGGATGAAACTTCTCTCCAGTACTCACTAGCTTTCAATAGTTCATTTCGCAACCTAACTTGAAATCAGTCACATCCCCCAAAAAACAAAAGTTTGAAAATTTTATTTTTCACTAGCGAAATAAATAAAAAATGTTTTGAAATTTTCTATTCATACTGTAGGCACTCGGAAAACACTGACTGATGTACAGATAGCCAGCTTTTCTAATAACAATCAAATTTATTATTTATTATCTGCTAAATTTTCACTCCGCCCTTTTATCAATAAATTTATACCAAGAGCTAATTTGTAGGGATTTAACTTTTTTTTTCTCGAGTTTTATCAGGGATTGATATCAGTTAGAGAACCATTGAAAACTAGCAGGGCGTACTAAACAGTTGTTTCGTCCTAGTTTAGGACTCTTCGGCGGTACGCACCCTTCAGAGTTCAAACCTAGGGTCTTCAAGTTAAAAGACAAGCTTGTAGACCATCCCACTCTTGGGATTAGACTCAAAGTTGGAGTTCAAATCCCTGTGGTGGGTGCAAACAGTCAAAGAGTCGCAAACTAGGACAAAACACCTGTCGAGTACTCTCTGGTTTTCTATGGTTCTCAAACTATTATCAATCTGTGACAAAACTTGGAACAAATGTAAGCCATTTTACTACTTGTTTAGATTAGTAGCCTACAATAATTATGTCAACTTTCAAAAAAGTATACCTGGTCATTTAAAACCGTTTTGCAGACGTCACATTTGAGAGTAATCTGTGTGTTGACTTCATGGTGGACCAATGGACACTGCGTACAGAGATGATACTCTGTTACACTTGAGAGAAAGACATAGGAGGATTTCATTGAGTATACTTACCATTTCGCTCGATGGAAAATGATGGGAAGTCGTGACCAGTAGGGTGTAGCAGGTCGGGTGTGAGGACAAATGCTCGCCGAAGACATTGGCTAGCGGTTGCGCTATATCGTGAATTGGCAGAAGTTAGAATTCATGGGCTTGCCATTGGATCGGGTCCCAGTGGCTTAATGGTATACGAGCTCGCCTTGTAACCAGAAGATCCTGGGTTCGAATCCCGGTGGGTGCGTACTGATGAAGAGTCCCAAACTAGACTGACGAAACAGTTGTCCAGTACTCCCAGGTTTTCCAATGGTTCTCTAACCAATGTCAGCTCATGATGAAATTCTGTAACCAATCAACCAAATCCCTACAAACCAATACTTGAAAATGATTTTATCTGCGTTGATGGGTTAGGGGCTAACAGTTTTCACTTTGGAAACCTTAATTATGCAAATCACAATCTATGTGTGTCAATTTACTTGACATCATAAACAGCAATTAAGAAAGCAAACATAAAATGCATATTGGACCTTTGAACAAAATTATCCAAAGATTGGCTCTTTATTGTTGGTGCATGGATGACACCTTTATTCTTTGTAATGATGATTCCGATAAGAACATAATAATAACCTAATTTCAATGAAGTACATTCTGCTATGAAATTCACGTGAGAAGAGGAATCTCAAAGTAGAATTAACTGCCATCCTAGATGTCAGTCCTTCTTACAAGAAAACCAGATGGTTGCTTAAAGAGAAGTTTGCATAGGAAAGGCATATACACAGGACGATATACACATTTTCACAGCTTCGTTCCTCTTCAGTACAAAAGAAATTTAGTGAAGACCCTCAGCCACAGGGTTAGAGCTACATGATAAGAAGAAGTAACTGAAGATGGACTAAGGATTGTGTATGGTACCTTGATTAAAAATAGCTATCCAGACAAATTCATCAGGAAACACATGACTAAGAATGTTGGAAAGGACTTTTCACTATCCGTAAACAAGAAGCCATTATACATACAACTGCAATTCAAGGGCGATATACCAAGTGAAATAATTACGAAGAAGTTAAGAAAATCAGTTCAAAGAACTTCTAATGCTGGTAAACTACAAGTCTTGTTTTCTACACGACCGATAGTGATTCCTCGATTGAAAGATGAAGTACCTAGACTAGCTAGCCACTTCTAATTGTATCTACCGGTTCCAATGTGCTTGTGTTGGAGCGAGTTATATTGGCCGTTGCTCTAGGAACTTAATATTTCGTGCTCGCTTAGGAAATACTCCCAATGTGACTGAGTAAAGGTGTAGTAAAAAACATAGATAGCTTGATATTAGACCACCTGGTGCAAACCTGCCACAACGTCAGCATTGAAGAATCCTTCTCTGTCATCTACCAGATACTAAATAAATTGCCAATAACATCCAGGTACCGTATGCTCCAAACAGCAGAGGCTATCGTGATTCTACTGGAAGAGTATTATTTACTGGACAATAGAGTTTCTGACACAATCCAGTCTTCATAATCATGTCAATTTTAAGCCCACGACTTTGAAACTTGAGTTTTATTTAGTTTTCTTTGTTCTCTCCTGTTTGTCATCGTTGGGGTAGTAGAATTTTCCAGATATCTGGGTGGACAGGTGTTGAATCATTACTACTACAAGTATTCTTTTCAGTTGATTCGATAAACAAGGTTTCTGTTGTCAATCTCTCCCTCCACCCTGTTAGTTGCATTCGATTTTACAACTGTCATCTTATCCTATTTTGTGGTTGTGTGTAATTGCATGTAGTGAGTGCTGAACTATTCTCTAGATTTCTTATCTTATTCGGGTCAACTAATCTAGATTTTGCTGCTAGGATTTTGTACTCAGCGAGTCT